TTTATACGCTCTATATATCAAGTAGGGATTAGGGCGCGTATTCTGTCTTTTCATATTAAAACAAAACTTATACAGGGTAATCGTTCTAATTACCCATAAAGAATTTGAGGTTTGAGCAAAACGTTTCTCTATGTAACTTAGGCAAAAAGCGGTTTTCTAGGCATTCAATGTTTTCCCCAAATCCCAACTCATTACTTATGCCGGCAGAGATTTTTTCTATACTATCTAAAGAAGACTGACATCGGCAAATGCAAATTTTGTGGCGAAGAAATGTATCGAGTGTTTTACCTTTGCGATCTTGTGCTACCTTTTCTACACATGACCCTGCCTGACCACCTTGTCTCCTTGATCAGGACTTACTACAAACTATGATGAGGAAGGGACTTGAGATGGTGTTTTAGCGGGATCTCGTTCCCGGTTAGTGTAATCTTTAAAGATATCTTAACAACTATTCGAGCACTCTTCTATAAAATGTATTTCCTCAGTAAATGTGAAAAAGCTTTCGAAATAGCACGTGTCTGTGCATAAACCAAAAACCACGAAAAGAAAAAAACAAAACTTTGTAAAATTTGTTTTGCTCTCGGCCTTTTCCATCGACTTGTATGAAACGAACATAACACAACTCAAGACCAAAACAGAAACAGAAAAATGCTTAAATCCGAAATGTTTGAGAGCCATCAGTACTCACTCTCGTTTATACCATATGAAGCAATAGAAACGAAATTAAAAATTCTCTCTCTTATACTTTTGGTAGCCAAATTCAACCAACCATACGATGCACATAATGTACCGAGTGCATCACCACCTTTCATTGCTGATATTGTACATTACACTGTAACGAAATTATTGTTTGATAAATAAATAGTAAAGACAAAGGGGAGGGAGGATACAGTACCACCACCAGCAGCAGCAGCAGCATTAGCAATAGCAGCAACAGCAGCAGCGGTAGATAAAACATATGTAAACTTTTAAAATTTGGCTATTTGGTGCGGCAGTATTACTCGTGATGGTTGTTCCTATTATTTTAATATCATTCCGTTACTAAGCGCGCGCGTTGTTGGTTGATTGAACTGTTTTTGAAGCAACAGTAGCTTTACCACCGCTTAACTACAATACAATACATACAATAATAATAATAATAATAATGAGCTTACCTAACGTGCGATGATTTACAATTAAGTTTTTTTTTTTTTCCTTGCCTACAACAAAGTGATTGTTGTGAAACATATTCAAAAATCCAAAAGACAAAAAGTGTTTATCGTTTGTTCCTATATGGTCATCGGTAATTGGAAATAATTGTATTTGCTTTGAGTGTAAAAAGATAAAAGACTATATAAAAAACTGTATGCTCCTTAGTGGGAGATTTATGTTTTGTAATTTTTATGAAAATCAAAAAAAAAAGAAAAGAAAAAAACGAAATTGTTCACGATTACCTATTAGTGTGTGTGTCCGCCTTATCGTTAATCGCATAGTAGATGTAGATGTTTACGGTTTTCACAAACAAAACAAAAGTTTTATGGTTTCCGTTTAATTGTGCGACTGTCTATGTAGATATGATTTAATTTTCTTATCTAATCTCCGGTACATCTCGTTTAAATGTAAATATTTTAATAAAAAAAACGCTAAAAAATGCTAAAATTAAAACTACATACATTCGCATTATAAACAATAGCTTTTTTTTTTTTTTTTTGGTTGAAATCAAAATTTGGAAAAAAAATATTCATAAGTTATTACTCATATGTATACGTGAATACAACAAACGGTTACGCTTCATAAAGCAACCATTCCATTGAAAATGACATGACAGCTCTTGTTAAGCATGCCGTTCAATTTCATTCGCATAGACAGTCGTTGACAATGGTTTGACAGCAGACAGACAAAAATGTTTCCAAATAATTTATACGATTACTGTAGAAATTACCCTTGATGCCAACTAATGATGATCTTGTTAACTGATTGCGATTTACGCATGTCTGACATTTAATGAAAACTAATGTAAGCCCAAACTGTAGGCATGTTATGGACGTACACATGCCTTAGTTGTTTGAAGATACTATGACTGTGAGCTACTAACCTAAAGCGATTGGTGTCTGCTGGTTCGAATCGATGAATAAAGGCAGTCTCTAATAACAAGTAGACTGACTGTATATTACAATGTTTGATATGCATGCAGGCAGATGTGTTAATAAAAACAATGGCACAGTCATTAGGAAAGCATGGATTGCATATAAATGTTAGATATGTTAGTTTTAGAAAGTTTTAAGGTATAGAAATTAATTGAGTAATTTTTTTGCAATTTTTTCCATTTTCAAAACTTAAAGCATACGAATATAAAATTGAAACCTGGGATGCATATGTAATGCTTTCGGGACTTTCGGGATATGACGATGTGGAAGCAATCAACGGTAACTTGTGTTGACTTCAAGTGTCAAATTTCATTACTGTTCGGTGTTTTCGCGAGTGGCCAGGTCGTTTCCGTTAATGCTTCACTGGCAAACGAGTTTATCTAAGACATACCAAGAATTACTTGGTGTATGAAACATATGTTTGCAGTTGCTTGATTAAATTTTCAAAATCGTTCACTGCTTATCATCTTTATATGTCCGAATATTAATCAAAACCAATGTGAAATCTTAAGATGCATAGCTTTAAAAGTAAATAAACACGATTGTGTATATTTTTTTAATGTAAAGTGACGCCAAGATAATGGAGTATCAATCGATGCTATGTTGACGGTCTTTGACAATACTTGAAGCGCATTGTTTCACAGCAAGGAACAGCAAACACGTTTCAAAATAATTTATACCAAAAACCACATAATAACCTAGAGATTCGGCTCAATGTTTTCTCACTTACAACAATGACCTTGTTAGCTTCTTCATCTTTCATATGACCAAGTACTAATACTAATAAGCATCAATGAAGAGATCGCAGTTATATTGGATATTTACCTACATTAGTAAAATATTTTCTTTCAGCAGTAAGACTATAATAGTAAGACTACGACTTATTTGCCTATGACAGCTCAGTTGCTGCTAATGTCGATAGGTTTTAAACACAATTAAACTGAATACCAAATTGTTTAATAACCGTATCAAGAAACACATCTACTTGTCCATATACTAATGCAAACCAGTGTAGAATTTTAAGATGCATCTTTTTAAAGTTAGATAAGTGTGCGTGAAGATATATATGTATGTATGTATGAAGGTTATTCTAGAAATGTATTGAAAGCTTTTTTTGAAACAAGTTTAAAATGCAGATGATTTGAAAAGGTTAACATAGAATATTTTAATTTGATTTTATTTAAACTAAATCATAAAGTTGCTTTGTAGCCAGCTACGAATGCAAGAATGAAGTGAATGTAAGAAAGAAAAAAAAAAAAACCTAACAATTAAAAACACGTTATCGAAAAGAGTACCACAAAATTTGTATTTAAACGAAATTAATAAAGTGTAATTAATAAGCTAACTTCACCTGAAGAGAAATTTTCACACTCACCATGCGGAGAGTATTAACATTGTATTTACTTAACGTAAACAAATTGCTTATCAGTGAGTCGAAGTGATTATTCGAATTTCTTTCAAAAAGATTATCAGTCTCTAACTGCTTTTTTTTCTTGTAAACCACAAGATTAAAGTGAATTTTCAATAAGAAGTTCTTTTTTTTGTAAGACTTCTATATATAATTTTTCTTAATGTGTGCTTGTGATATTATCGGTTAATAAACATCTGGAAAAACTGCATTTATCATAAAACAACGCTATAGAGAATCACGGCGCACAATTAAATACCCTAATTCACCTTACAATTATTCGTATAACTACTTCTTAAAACAAGGCGTTCAATGGAAAGTGAATGAAAAAGCTGCGCGATCAGAATCATTTTCAATAGCCTATGTTTTTGGGTCCCAACAATTCTGCGTCCAAAATTTCATCAATATGTAATAAAAATTGCGGCCGGTGCGTTCAAGAAACGAAAGCAAGACGGACAGATGGACCGACGAATAGACGGGTAGACAAGCTCAAAAATGATACTGAATCGACCAGTAAAATGAAAAGTGAATCTATCTCGAATCCTTCTGCGTATTTTATACATCCGCACAAACTCCAACCACAAGTTATGTAGTATATATAAATGAATAAACAAACGCAACAGACTCGTTAAGACGGTTAGGCGGACGGACAATTTTTGATTGATTCAGACTTATTTTGCGTATAAGAGAAAGTATAATAAAAAGTGTCATTTCAAGTTCTTCTGTATTTGTTGCGTACATTCTCTTGTACCATAAGTGGCGTAATGTGCATAAACACATGATTCATTAATGGACAGATTAACTTTGATCGATTCAGGCCCACTTTCTGTATAATAGAATATATACTAAAACGCGGGGCTATCTCAAGTTCTTTTGTCCTTGTTGCATATATTATCACTTGCTTAAGACATCCTTGCACCACAAGTGGCGTAGGGTATATAAAAGTTATAACCTTGAATCGATTCAGGCTTACTTTCTGTATAATAGAAGATATAATAAAATTTGGGTCCATCTTAAGTCCTTCCGTGTGTTGCATACATCCACACAAACTTAATATATCCCTACACAACACGTGGTGTAGGGTATAACTAACATGTATCTGCCTGAAAATTAGTATAATGCAATCATTCAAAGTTGAAAAGAAGCTGGAAAATAAAATAACTTTAAAATAAAATAAAAAAAAAAAAAAAAAATTAAAAAAAAAAAATTTAAATAATTTTTTATTTAAGTTTGGCATAATTCATCATATTAGCAATTAAAGATAAGCCAGCTTAACATGAGTGTAATTAACTCTGTGTTACTTTTTAATATGTTTTCATATAAATTCATCTAAATTCAAGTGAAAGTGTTCAATCACGCAATAAAATTCTCAAATAAATTTTTATAAAAATATAGAAAAAATATTAAAAGAAAATTGAGATAAGATAAAAAGTAAAGTAAACTATTAAACTAAAAATAACTGCCACAATAATATAAATCTTTTATTTTTTTTTTTTTCTAAATCTGCTAAAGAAGGGGGTTTCTATTTTATATACAAAAATGCGGCGTAATGTTAAATTGATTGTATTTGTTAGCATAATATGGATGTTTGTCTTGGTCTACTATTTCCAATCCAATACCGAAAAGGTAAGTTTTTATATATAAAATATATAAAATATATATATATATATATAAATAAAATTTAATGTATTTCCGTTTTTTAAAAAATATACTATAATGTGGTTGTAAACAACTTTTCTAAAGATAGGATTAATATATGTGTTTATGTAGACAATATGATGCCTGCATAGCAATTACTTTTACACCCATCATTTCAAAATGATAAAAAATTTAAAAGTATTCTAATACTGTCATTGCTTTTGTAACGCTTCGAAACATGCTTTGAAAGTTCTTTATAGCATATAAGTTGTTGCTTCGGACGAAACTGTAAAGGAAGCAACATCGTAATGTGTATTAATCATATGAATTTGTCTAACTAAAGAAAATGGATATTGGCGAAAACTTCAGTACAAATGTCTATCAAAGCTCGCTATGAAAATGCTTTCCGCCCGCCAAATGAGGCAATCAGAACGTAGAGCACACAAAATTGTTATCTAAGTGAATTTAAAATTTATGAAAAATACTAACCGAACTTCTCTGAAAGTATTTATCAAGTTTATCTGGAAGTTCACTATAAAAATGCTGTGGTTAAGACGGTCTTGCTGTAGTGAGCATATAAAGTTCGTCTTAAATAAAACACGTACAACACAATTTTATTGCTTGTTAAAACTTTTGCTTTTGAATGTTGAATGTTGACTCATTGTCGCCTTTTTAACTTTAACGGTTTTATTATTTTTTGCATAAAAAAATTTTACTCATGCTTAACATTAATAAAATGTGCATAAAAACGTGAATATATATATATATATATATGTGTTTGGTCGATGTTGTTAATTTGGTATTTTTATTAGAGATTTTTGCTTCATTAACCTTTAAAAGATATACAAAGAAAATATAAAATAATAGCAAATACCATTAAAGCGAGGGATGGAAGGTTAGAAAATGACTTTAAAGATTTTTTTTTTTTTTCTTAGCAAATATATGGTTTAAGTTAAGTTTTGGTTATTTTATTTTTAATTTGCATCGAACTTGAGATTACCAAAACAATCCGGTTGCATTCATTGATTAAAAATGTTAAATCATGTTAAAAAATTGTACATATGTTCCTAGGCATTCAATTATGCATTGTATATATGCATGCATACAAATGCAAACACAAAAGAATGTATGGCATATGCAGTGAAACTGAGTGTACGCGCATTCAATTAACTGGTGCACAATTATTATATATTCATATGGCGATGATCGGGTACACTGAAAGAAATTAAAAAATCGTATATTTTAAAGAGAAATTTAAAAACTTAATTGGTATTTGAAATGCTTATATGATACTTTAAAACGATACGTGTTGCCCTCGGTAGTCAATAGAAAGATAGAGTTACATACAAGATTACGATCAAGTTGGGAAAAATTTCAGATTAAGATCGTCAGATTAAGTTTAAATCTTGACTTAATCACTTTAGACAACAGCTCGCAATACGCAAAAGACTGATAAATTTCTTCTTTACTAAGCAAAATTCCCGAAACAACTTTGCTAAAAACTACTCCCAAGAAACGATACGGCATACGTATGTATGATTTTTAATTCGTAGCGTTGTTTGCCGGACTTCAGCTTCTTCTTCTAGCCGAATAGATAAGAGTCACGACTTCGGTCTTCGAGGTTTCATATCTCAAGCTAGAGTAAAGCATACTTAGTCCTAGCTTATAATGAGCGTGTAGTCGGCGAAGGCATAACACTTATTGATTGGGCACAAATTCACTAGGCTGTCTCCACTTCATATCTTTTTCCCCACCTCTTCCCTTTCCTGTTTCTTTTTTTCTTCCTCTCTCTCTCTTTCCCTTTCCCGACTTCTTTCTGATCTTCCGCTTGTTAAGCGCACGGGCATTTTTATTTCAGACGTTATTTTATGGAGGTCCTGAGGAAAAGTAACTTACGTCAGACGAATATTCGACATCCGTGCCATCCCAAATCAATAAATTATGTAAGCGAAATATTTATTGAAATGTGAGCTTTCAGCAAATATGAGTGCTGGTCTATAGTTACAAGTCTTACACTGGCCTTTTAGCTGACTAGCGGGCATCAAGTTACATTTTTTTCTTAATTTTATGGACGTAAAATCTAATCTCTCTACGGAATCCAAGAAAAGTAAAGAACACATATAATATTGTTTCGCTGGTAGGTATGGGTTTTGATTTCGAGAATATCTTCATATCTTTTATAAATCATTGAGCATTGAGGTGGATCCATACAAAACGATATAATCTGTGGATTATGTTCTTCCTTCAAAGTAAGTTGAAAGCTACCATTAAAATATTATTAAGTTTGAGATAAAGTGCTTTACATGTGGTCAAATTTAATTCGGTAAGCGTAGCCGAGAGCAAGGTAAGAATTGCGATTACCATGTCTATGTTCGCGTGTTCAAATCTCCATCCATTGGAGATTACTTTGGTCAGTCGATAAAGGCATAACACTTACCAATTCGGCCCATACTTACTAAGCTGCGGTCGCTTCTCTATTCCTTTCTCTTTACCTATTTTCTTTCCACCTCCACCGTATTACACGAATAGGGGACATCTCTCAAGTGATTGGTCATGTAATGAAACAAAAAAATTAAATTCTACCTTATTTTGTAATTAGACCTTTTTTTCTGAGTGTATTTGTTGAACGAGTGTAGTGTACGCGCCACTTTTTATTCTATTTGTTTTCTTTAAATTTATGCATAACAGAAATGAAATTGAAAAAGAAAGTTGAGAAACAGCTGAATATAAAATTATATATTTTTGTGTCCAGATTCTCGGGTCATGAACACGCACCCGGATAGTTGGGTCAATATGATTAAAAATGTACAAAATCCCTTGGTGTTTTAATCATTTCATAAACTTATTTCCCATTGTGAATGTAATAAATAAATTTTATTTATTAATTAACGACATATTGATATTGATAGTCAGTCAGTCATACGGCAATTGGCAATGAACACATTTTATTTTTAAATTGAGTTCAGTTGCTGACCTTTGCCTATAGTTGTCTTGTTTTAAAATTATAAGAGAAATTTTTCAATTTTCCTTTCGTCGAATATTGTTGTACCTAAGATCTGAGCACAAAACATTCTTTGGCAAAATATCAAAATTATTACATTTTTTTTTTTTTTTTAACAAAAGAACATAACATAAGATTGAATTTAAAAATAGTATAAGAAGACGATCCCTTATCTTTAACTTATACCTGGCAAACATCTTTTTGAATTTATCGATAATTAAATCAATTAATGATCTGAGTTCTGGTCATTTACCTATAATAAATTCGATTAGCAAGAATGGTTAGCGGACGAAGGCATTATTGCTCAACTTTGACGAAAATAATCGACCATATTTCCCTCGTCATGTTAGAGAAATGTCCCACAAAATGGACGTAAATTTAATATGGAACTATGTCGAGATCTGCCTTAAATATGACTGTCACGAAGATTAAACTTAATTCGATAAAAAAACCTCTCCTTGATTATACCATTCACGTAATTCAAAAAATTAATACATTTTGACGGAACTGAAAATGTTTTACAGATTTCATTGGCCATGTTCGAATGAAAAATTTGAATAAAAGGGAATTTTCGAAAAAGTTGAAAATTATAAAAATTAATTTCGGAACTCCATGTCGTTGCCTTTGGCAGAATGTTCACATTGCCTTTGCACTATTGGAAGAATCTTGCAAAAAGAAAAATCCAACATTATGCCGATATTAAAACACAATGAGTAGCGAAATTGTATTCGGTTGCGACCGCAACATTTCAACGCTATACTTTATAGAAGCACGTACAAGAAAACAGTTAGGTGGACGTGGCAGATTTTTTCAAGATTTTTTTTGTGCAGTCACTGTAGAGTCATCCATGTGCAGGAATTTTCATCTTTGGATATGTGTAGTTTATAAGCAATGAGCTAAAAGCTCGATTATTTTTGGTTTTTCAAAACAGGTGGGCATGGTTGACGTTGTTGACTCTGTTATTCGACCAACTTGGCCTATCTATAATACCAACACACTTGCAAAAATTTGCAAGATTTCCGCCAAATTTGAAGCTGAAGGATAGTGTTTACCACCGACATTACACTGATGGACGACATTACACTGACGGACGTACATAATTCGATTCATTGAGAGTTTGATGCTGCGTGTTCTTAATCAGTAGATTATAATGTTTTGCCAGGCACCTTCAATTGCTCCAAATACATAAGCGACAAGGCTACCAATAATAAAGTCTCTAATGCTATTGAGTCATTTATTCGCATTGTTATTACGCCATCTTCCATTTATTTTGTTACGGCCAAAAAAGTTATGCATATGACAGTGTTATGAAAGCTTGTTTTAAGTTGCGTTAGTTCTGGCGACTAACTTTATCTTCGAAACTGGTTCTAGTCCTTAAGCCAAACAGGATCGGAAGCTGCCACTCCTCATAGGGGCTAATAACTCTGCTTGCGCTTGTTAATCAAATACTGGAATACATTATCGAAGAGAAGCAGAAATTGTTAAACTTATTCAAAGGACAGAAACTTGAAAGTTCTTTTGGGCTTTTTGCCTTTAATTATTGTATTTTTCGCCTATACTGTATAGTGTTTCCACTACGAGTATTACAATGCTAACTTGGTCTTCTATATATGTTAATGGCACTCTGTTCCTCTATTGTGTAAGTTTTGGTTTTGACGAAGGTATCACTCACTTAGTGGTCCTTCTGTTAAAAACTTGACAAAGTTACTTTATTTTCAGAAAAGTCAAACCATCATCTTTAGTCTCAAACGTGTACATGGTATACATTCTTCAAATACACTTTAAGCTTTGACGGTAATGACATTCTTTGGAAAAATAAAGCCTAATATTTAGATATCATGTTAGATTCTAAATTTGCTTGCATTAATTCAACAATCAATAGGGTTAACAATACTACCGAGATTCTTAATCCGTAGAGTAATCGAAATTTAAAATTAAACAAAAAAGCGAGAGGTTGATCAAAACTATATTTCATACCTTCATTATG